TTTTAAGGATTTTTTAAGATAAGAAAATTTAAGTTTCATAAATGAGTCGAGTTTGAGCTTTTCAATCAACCCAAGCTTGAGCATTTTAAAAAAGATCAAGTATTCGTGCTGAGCTCGAGCTAGAGTTTGAGCTCAGTATTAGATAAGTGAGCACAAATTGATAATGCTACTACTTGACTCAATTTGACTCGTTTACGTACAAACTTTTCAAGAAAAAATTCAAATCCTCAATTTTTAAAAATTAAAATGTCAAAATCAAAACTCGTAATATCTTTAATTTGCTTTTTTTTTTATTTCTAGAAAATGACAGTATAAAAGCTTACAATCCCTACTACATATTTGTAAATTTTTAAGGTTATTTGTGATAGAATGAGAGAAATAAAAAATAAAAATCCAAAATCTCTTCAATTATATTGGATTCCTCAAAATAAAATAAGAGAAACATCTTCTCTCCAAGATGCCATAATCCATTGAAAACTCAATTTGAGGAAGAAGGGAGAGCACCTAGCTTTAAACACTTCTCATCATTCTCTTACTCCTCTATTAATCAATCACAAGCTTGTTACATTGTCATCCATTCATTACTTTTTTTGGTTATAGTGCGAAGGCCTACAAGTCTCCACAAACTCATCGAGACAACCATAAGCCCACTAAATCACGTAGTGGTCATATGTGCTGTTATGATCTACACATACTTTTGAAGGATATGTGTAGGCTGTCACATTCCCATTATCTCCAAATTAAGGAGCAACATGGAAGCACTATCAAAATATTGAGTGAAACAAAATTTTAATCAAAATACTACTATGAGGTTTCGTCTGAGACAACTTTTTTACTATTTTGTAAAACAACTTTCTAATACAAATATTCTTAATTCAATAAATTTTTTAGTGAAACAAAATACTTCTATGAATGCTCATTCAACATGCTTTAACTCTATAGCAACGTTAGAGATCACCATATGATGAAATCGAACTTAAATGAATATTATAATAGATAAACTACATTAAATAAATCAAGTTTGTTTGACAACCTGCTCAAAATACTCTCCTCCAAAGAAATCAAAAGAACCTATGGTTGAGTTGAGTAGCATTGAGTATCAATCTCCCCATAAACCTCTCTAAAGATTGTAATAAAGAATGAAACAAGCTAGAATAGCACCCACTAGAGCTAACATATATAGTTTTTTTGAATGGATATGAATTTTTTTGACCCTATGAGCTTGTGTTACTCATATGTGACTCATTAGTGATTTGACGATAATAAAATCTTATTTGACATCAAGTGATAGTTTGTTAAGTGCTTATATTAGTTAAAAATGTATTAGTTAATTTACAAATATGATGATTTATTTTACTAGATTCTTGAAATCTTTGTAGCTATAAGTTGAGTTAAGTTTTGAATGATGAATCCATACATTTAAAAGAAGGTAAATTGAAAGTTCAAGTGAAAACTTTGTGAGTGTTTAGGTATTTTATTATATGATTGAGTTTTTCATTACCCTAAAATATCTCAAGCATTATGAATACATAACTAAAGTTTTAAATTATACTTTAAGAATGTTATAATCCTTAGAAGTAATTGGTTTCTTTCGTTCATCCAATTACCTAATAAATACCTAATAAAGCAAAAGCCTTAGAAGGTAGAAGTTCTTATGATCACAAAAAAATAACAAATTCAGAAGGCAAAAATTAGGTGTATGTTACTTTAATTTTTCAAAAAATAAAAAAGATATAAATCTTAGAAGGTAAAAGTTTCTCTAATTTTTCAAGTTCTAAAAATGTTAGATTTCCTTGGTTCACCAAAAAATCTCATAAGACAAAAGCCTAAATATTTATAGGTTTCTCCAATCATCCTAGAACTTCATAGATCAAAATGTCTCAAAAGGTACAGGTCTACCAAAAAACTCAGAAGGGTGAAAGCCTAAGAAGGTGTATATTTCTCTAGTTCTTAAAAACTTCTTGAAAGGATAAAAGCCTTAAAATATATATTTTTATTTGACTCAAAAGATTTAAAGCCTAAAAAAATCTAAGTTTTTATTCTCTCAAAATAGCTTAGAGGACAAAAACTTAAAAATGTATATGTTCTTTAAAATATGTAAAAAAGAATAAAGCCACAAGAGATTCTAAAAAAATTTGAGATCATCATATTCCAGTGGACATCTTATTACTAACTCAAAGATTCAATATGACCTTTTAGAATTGAAAACCTTAAGTACATCTTAATGATATAAAATACTTAACCTCTTTTGGAGAGCAAGTTCCGACCAATCTGAATTTCTATTGAAGGAATATGGAGAGTTCATAATTCCCAATAAATTAATTATGAATAACAACAAAGTTTGTATATTAATATACATTTCATCTTCCATTGAAAAGTCTCTTACCTTTTTTTTTCTTGGTAAAACTCACAAAAAGGCCTACATGTTAATGATACAAATTCTTAAGGGGACCAAGAGCCACTAATGCCCAAAGGCTACAACTAAAGAGAAATAAAATCCTATTTGCTAAGGATCCTCAACTAGAAAACAATTCAAAATGAAATAAAAAGCAAATATAATTCAACTCCAACTCAAAGGTATAGAAAAGTCCAAAGCCACCTTGTCGCACAACAAATGCTTCCATATCTAAGAAATAAGATCAGAGAAGAGACTAAAATCTAGAGATATGTAATACAAAACACCTCTAAATAGAAATAATTAATCACAATACCAAAACTGAACCAACCACCAGAGGGATGTAGCAACCAACCACTAAACATCCAGACCAAGTTACAACTAAAGCATTACAAATCCACACTAAGCAACTATCTTCATAGGAGAAAACCATAAATAAAAGAAAGAAGAGCAACCAACAAAGATATGCCAAACCACAATTTCCAAATAAACATAACAAAATAAAACAAACTAATATAAGACAGCACCTGTTGGAAACTCGTTCAATATGAATTAGGATGTTAAGCCTAATTAAATGTCCCAAGGCTAACCAAGAGGGGGGTGAATTGGCAATTTAAAAATTATACTTATACTCTTCGATTTTTAGAAAACCTTTTTAATTATTTATGCAAGTTAAATTTAAAGTTTAAAAATTAAACTTTTCAACCAGAGTAAACAACTTGCAATGAAATTAAATGCGGAAGAAAAATAAGAAAGAACACACCAGATTTATAGTGATTCGATCAAACCTTGACCTACATCCACTCCCCGGAGGCACCCTCCGAGTATTTCACTAACACCACAAAGTGACTCTCCTTTTGCCCTTACAGCAAGGCGGAGAAGCCTGTACAAAATCACTTTCACCTTCCCCGGTGCGGCGGAGTATCCGAGTTCTTTGACACCAAAGATATCTTCTTCTTGCCAAAACTTCCCTCAAGACGACCCTTGAATCTGATTGTACTGAAGTGCAAGTTTGCTGGAGCAACCGTGTGAATATCCCCTTCACACTTCCTTGAACCCCTTCAAGGATCTTCTCCCTCTCAAACTCCACCCTTTCCTCTCTCCCTTTCAAGTTCTCTCTTCTAGTTTTCTCCCAAAAAATGAAGAAACAATGGCTGTCAAAGATACACTTTATCGTCCTTTTACACTCTCCAAGTGTCGACAGAGAACCGGACCGATGTTGTTGAACTTCACTTGGGATCCTTCAGAGGAGATGGGAAGAAACAAAGAGATCTTCTTCTTCAAGTAACCTTGTGAATCCCTCACAAACCCCTCACTTGATCTCTCACTCTTCACTCTTACAATCTCTCCCAAACTCTCACTCTCAATGATCCCTCTCAAGAGAAAACAACTCCAAAGGCACATGTAATAGTTTATAGGACTCCTTATATAGAAAGGACATGAAAAACCGCTCAAAAAATTGCTAAAAACATGTTATTCTGCGCACTGGATCGTCCCGTACAAAATTGAGTTAGTACGGACGAACTGAGTAAAAAACTGTCCCGTACGAACCATTTGTTCATCTCTACGAACCAATTTCGTCCAGGACGAAATTGGTTCGTCCCGGGATGAAAAATTTCGTCCAGTACAAACAGTTATATCAAAAGTCGGATTCGAAAACTGCAGAATATTGCCAGAAACTGCCATAGTCGGTTCCCATCGTCCTAGACGAACTGGACATCGTATGGACAAAATTTTTACAGTTAGAAACTCATCCTGGGATGAAAAATGATTTTGTCTGGACGATAATTCCTTAGAAAAATTTTCCATTTCAGTTCCTGTTCGTTCCATTGCTCTTACAAGGAAATAACTGATCTGATCGTCCTGTACGAACAATGTTCGTCCCGTAAGATCAGTACAAAAACTTTTTCAAGATCTCCTTTAAGTGTGTGTAAATTTATTCACTCAATTACAATCACTCCCTCTCAAATTTAATTCAAATAAAAAGTACAAGCTTCAAATTCTCAAAGTATCTCATGCTGAATTTGAGTTGAAGTCTTCGTAGTCTGGAGTTCGATTTTCCTGAAATATTAGTACACACAAGAGCAAAAACAAATCTTCCAAAAAATATTAGGAGATAACAACACATAAAACAATAATATTTGGAATCATCAAAACTATACAAGTTGCAAGAATATAAAACATGCAAATAGCAACTTTCCTAACAATACCAATTACCCAAATGAAATCTAATCATTAAAAGTATTATAATGAACATTATAGTGTGTAGCTATACCAACAAAAGACTTAAAATTATGCGAGCAACTTTTGTTTTTATTTTTCATTCTCTTCCTACCAAAACCCATAGAATAGCTCACATTATTCACCTACACAACATTTAAATTACAATCCTCCATCAAACTATTTTAAATATCAATAAAATATCCCCCAACATCACCTTTACTTGCCTATTGAGGATAGATCCAATTAATCAGAATGTCAACAGGATCAGTCGAAGGAAAAATCCCACTTCTCAAATATCTAAGCGCATCATTAGAAATATCTTCAGCAGGTATAGAAATAATGGGAATCTTGTCAGAGACATCCAAGCCATAAAAAAAGGATGTTATTCAATCATAGGGCTATGACTCCCCAATGATCTCAATCCAATACAGAGATAATTTCTTTCATTATGGGCAACCCACATGAGCAGGTTCACAGTCTCCATAGAAGGAGGACTATGTAATGGAACACCAACACTATTAACAGCTGGAGTTAAAGACGACAAATCAACCATCATTTCATTACCAACAAAAACATCACCATGATTCAACATAGGATTTGCAACCTTAGTTATCAAAATTTTCATATTTTCCTGAGTAAAAATATCGGCATTAGCAACATTATTTAAATTAAAAGTGACCTTATCACTAGCAATCATAGAATGATGGAAGGACATACGAACCACATCTAAATAAGGGTGGAGCACATGGCATTATGCTTTGGAATGCCCAGGGAATTATAGTGAAAACATAAGGGGGGGACTCCTCCATTTCAACATGTTGTATGTACCTAAGATTTTTAGGGCCAAACCACACTTTATTGGATAGCATTTAGTGATATTTAACTAGACCAAAACACGAGCAACGGATGGCTGTGAGCCAATCGAAGTAGAATTATCTATTTTTAGAGGCCAACCAAAAAGAGATCTCCATCCAAGAAGTATACAAGGGGAGAAGAGATGGGTTCAAAGGTTAGGGAAAGAGATCAAAATCAGGATAATTAGAGATTCAACGTCAATATCAAAAAAGGAGACCACTTGAACAATTTTATAAAGTAATTAGTAAAAAAATAAGATCGATGAGAGAATACTCTATTATAATCGAAATCATTAACCAATTTAATGAACACATGCTTTGGATTCAAGATAGTAATCGAGAAATCACCATTGAACTTGAGGTTAAAGTAGAGTCTAAGGATTGAATTCAGAGCAAGTCTATGACCTGGAAATTTACCAATTAACGTAAATTTAAAAGGTTCCACAAGTACGAGGAATTTAAAAGGTGCTGCAAGCATGAGAATCTCCTCCTCTGAAATCCAAAGTGGTGTTAAAGCAAGGTGAGAAGTGGTTTTAAGAGCAAGAAACGCTGGAGAGGGGGAAGCCCAAATTAGAGCATTAATAAACGAATGAGATTTCTTTTGCCCATCTAAAAAATTAGAATCGTTCAACTGATTGACTTCCGTTTCAGCTGAAGGAGTTAAAGGTAGAAAAATAAGAGAAACAACCGCAAAACTAGATAAGGCAAATGAAGAAGCAAGAGATGGATCGAGGAAGAAACTCACTTCCCTAAAGGCGAAATAATCTTTGAAAGCTATGGCAGCCAACATCATTAATTGAGGAAGATCGGCTAGGGAAAAAACTCTGTAGAACTCATTTGAATGAGAGGCACGGCTTGGAGATCCTAATCATGTTGTATACCAAAATATATGATATCTCTTATCTCTTCAAATTTGATGCAATGATGCAAATTTTATTTCATCTATATCAACTTCAAAAGATTCCATGCCAATGGCTTTAATGCCAACATTGTTGCTTGGTAACACTAATAATATTATTATTAAATATTGATATCAAGCTTAAAGTTATACTCCATGAGTTTGAATATCTTCTTTAACATCATCTTTGCATCATCACTAATGCATTAGTCATCCCCTCTTAAATGAGCTAAATTAAATTAAAATTGATAATAAATATCTCTCAATTGGTGCAAAAATTGGAGGTTTAAAATGAGTAATATATTATTTTATTTTAGATCTTAATCCCTTTAACTAATGAGGGTCAGCCTTCCTTTCAAGAGGGAGATTGGAGGTTCATTGTAATGATTAAAAATCTTAGGTGTCCTACAAAACTCTAATTATAGGATAGTTCTATAATATTGATAAAGAAAATATTAGAGTACATAAGAGAGAATATTTTGCCTATACAAGATGATGTCGAGCCTTTTAAGAGATATAACCAATGTTTATTAAAAAAAGAATTTGAAAGATTTTTTTTTTTTAATAAATCTTAAAATAGAAATCATTGCTCTTAGTGGAGGAGAATTATAGCATCAAGGTAAGATATACCTTGTCTAAATATTAAAGCGAGCTTACAAAGGAAGAATTATGCACGATCTATAGAAGATAAAGAAAAAAGTAGGGCCTACAATGGGATGAGTGAAATTTACCCTCTCTATAAGGCAGTATCTATAATAAAAGCATGGTGAAAGTTATAAATTTTATATTAATTGAAAATAAAGAAAGAAAAATAATGAAGGAGCTCCATAATAAGGCACCCAAAAGGAGCCTACATTGGAAGCATTTACATGAACTAGAGCGGGCCTAATAGTGTTTGAAGGGATCAAAGGTCGTGAATGGTATGTTCGAAAATAGTTCGATTAGAATGAATTTTTAATCCATAAAAATAAGCCCTTCGTTAATATTTATTTTTTTTCTAAAAAAGTTGTATTTATTTTCTTTCATATCAAATACTTAAAAATATAAAACTAATTTATTTTTTTATATTTCACTTTGAGTACACTAAATCAAACAGCCAATAGAGAGTTTTTAGTGAGAAGTTGTTATAAAGTATTAATTACCTACAAAGATACTTTTTATATTTAATTTTTGCTAATGCTAGTGAAGTAAATTAAACAATTTTACCCCATAATTCATTTTCTTCACATATCAATATATCATAAATAAAATAAGAACAATTAAAGCTTTGTTTGGGAGAGTTTTGTGCTACTTTTTAAAATAGCATTTTAGTATAAAATTTTATTATTATTTTTATATTTTTATACTAAAAATTTGCTTTATAAAGTAGTTAGAAAGTAGTCGCAAATGAAGCCTAAATTGGCCATCTTTATTTTGGCTTCTTTAAGCTTCAGTTGTTCTGCTAGCAAAGCAAAGCAATATGATTAACATTTCCCTAAGGCTGCACCAAATTGATTAATATGTATGTCATCAGAAAATTATTGAATCAAGCACATATCTTGATGCATATAAGAATTAGAGAGTCCAAAAGCACTAATGAACAGAAGGAAAGAGTCAAAAGAAATCCAAGCAAAGCACCAATTAGAGAGCCCAAAAAAATATAAAATCACCGTTGCAAAATCTGATACTTTGCATTTTAAGTAACAGCCACAACATAGGATTTTTCTACTCTTCCCTTTCTCCAAGCAACAAAATTTACAGGAAGTACTCGCAGAATCATCAGCATTCCACCTACCACCAACCATCCCCTCTCGGCCTGCTCCGGCGGCTTCTGCCTCCATCCATTCCCCACGGCTGTCTCTAACCTCCAACCACTCTTCATCCCAATCCCAAATTGGGCCGCCTGAAACCATTGCATTCTCCCGAATTCTCCTTGCTGGTTCCTCACTACGGAATCCCTCTTCTTCTTCTTCTTCTTCTTCTTCAATTGATTCCCACAAGCTTAAATCCAGAATGCTCTTCGGAGAAATCCAGGTCGCCTCAGCGCAGCCGGAGGCGGCGAAGGGGTGGCGCAGAAGCTCTTCCGCCGTCCACCGCTCCCCTGGATCCTTCCTCAAGCACTTATCTAGAAAATCCCTCGCCTCCTCCGACACCCAATCTGGAATTTCCGGCACATCGCCGGAGAATCCAATCCGGTGAATCGCCGCAACGACATCATCAATCTCTGGCCACGGCGACTGGCCAGCGAACATCTCAATAACTGTGCACCCCAGCGACCAAACATCAGCTGACATCCCCTGCTCCTCCCCTCTCGCGGCTTCCGGCGCCATGTACATCGGCGTCCCACGTACGTCCAGCTCGCCGGCGGCGACCCACCGCGCACAACCCAAATCGCCTATCTTGGCCCGCTCGCCCGACACCAGAAGTACATTCCCCGGCTTGACGTCGCAGTGGACGACGCCTTGGCCGTGAAGATAAGCCAAACCGGTCAGAATATCTCGGGTTTTGTAACGGATGGCCGGTTCATCCAACCGGCCGCCAGAGTTCTTTATATGGTCGGCGAGAGAACCGCCGGGGGCGTACTCAAGAAACAGATTGTAGAATAGAGCGCCACCGTCGCGCGGGGCCACGTCGAAGCCGAAACTAGAGATAATGAAAGGTGAGCTGAGTGCAGAGAGGATGCTCTGCTCGCGCTGCAGAATTGCGGAGTGGGACAACTCGGCAGACTTGACGGCGAAGAGATCGCCAAAAGTGGAGGAAGCAGCGAGGAAGACTGTGGCAGTGGAGCCGCGGCCGATGGCCGGCCCTCTAACCCACTCAGCTCCACCCATTGCAGAACAAAGGAATTGTCTTGATTCTTAACGATTCTTGACGATTCAAGAAAGAAATAAATAGGAAATGGAATTTGGAGTGTCATTTAGCGATTGTTCGCTTGTGTTACAGGGAAGGAAGAGGAATACAAAGAAGCAAGCAGTGTGTCTACTCAAAGAGAGGAATCCACGCGTCCTGAAGTAAAGGTGTTGCCTGGCCAACTGGTGGCCAGCAATACCTTAAAGACTTTTTACAGTTTCTTTTGGGAAGTTAAGAGATTAATGGATTTATTCTTCTTCACGTCCTGCACGGCACGAAGCCGGCGTGGCAAGAGGATATGGAAGGTATAAAAATGTGGCTTTTGACATCCAAGAAAACAGTTTGGGTTGTTGGCAGATTTCTTTCATGCTTATATTGTGTTTCTCTAGAATTTCAGCTATGTATGGTTTTAATATACCTGTCAATAGGGGTGTCAATATTTGACACGACACGACAATCCGACCCGGATCCGACCCGGAAAATCCGGGTTGGACCCGACCCGTTTGATAAACGGGTCGGGTTCGGGTTCACAGATTTGACCCGTTTAATCAAACGGGTCGGGTCGGGTTGACCCGGCGGGTTACCGGGTCAACCCGTAAACCCGTTTAATTTAAAAAAATAAAGAAATGTCTTCTCAAAACGGCGCTTTGGGCTTCTCAAAGCTTTTCCTCGAGCCCTTCAAAGCCCGGATCCTGTTCACGTGCTCCTTATCCTTGATGGAAAGGCAAGGATCATTTGATGATTACTCAGCCAGTCCATAACAAGCTCCTTATCCTTGCTCCGCCCAAGGATCCTGACATCCTGTTCACGTGCTCCGAGCTCCGTGCAGCTCATGCTCCTTCCCCAAAAAAAAAAAAAAAAAACTCTGATGCTCTCTTGTTTTGCGTGTTTTACAAGATGAAGGAAAGTATCAACACCAGTTGTTGCAACTTTAATACTTTATCAAGTTTGTGCACAGGCGTCCGTCTCCGGTCTCCAGTCGCTTCAAGGTGGGGTGGGATCAATTTTGAGAGCACGTTTGCCAAATTTGAAAAAAAAAAAAAAAAGATTGGAAGAACGCTGTTGGGTCGCGGGTCGGGTCGGGTCAACCAGGCAACCCGGCCGGGTCGGGTTCGGGTTCGGGTTGACCCGTTTAGATACGGGTCGGGTCGGGTTCGACCCGAACCCGGCGGGTTGACCCGAATTGACACCCCTACCTGTCAAGGGATCTGAAAAAACCACTCATAATTCGATGCTTTGGAGAATCATTATTCTGCATAAAAGTCCTATATGGGTCTTGGTTGGGTACCCATGCTTTACTCGAACGGGTTTTGCCCACACATGGTGACTTTAGGGATGTTGTACCCACCTATACTCACCCACTTTTCATGCTTGTTGAGCACAGTCTGCTATGGACTGATGGTCTTGAGGCTTGTTGCCCTTTGCTCTGATTGCAAACTTTCAAGCTGCATATAGAAATTTACCGTAGTCGCAGCGTAGTTAACTACTACACACTACGCAGTGAGGATTGTAGTAATATAAAATAGATGGTGATTAGCAATGTAAATCGATTTATTCCCCGATATTGAGCAAGGACCCATACCCACCCACAAGGTCATTGACGTACACATACCCACACATACACATGGGTGGGTGTGAGTATGGGTACCTAATGCAGGGTTCTGTTCTGCATTCAAAATTCTCGCTTTTGCTTTTCTATGATCAACCACTGATTCTCTCTCTCTCTCTCTCTCTCTCTTTTTTAAGGAAATTTAGAGCTGAGCTCATATATATTAAGAAAAAGAGGGATACAAAAACATATATAATCTTGTATTACAGGGAAATAACGCAAAATAAAATTTACAAAGTATAAGAAGCCCAAAAATAGGGAGGGGGGGGGGGTGGAGCAAAAACCTCGACTCAGAAAAATGGGAACTAACAACATAAGCAAAATGCTTAACAAGCGTAAGGAAGATCAACCAATCTGACCAATCCGTGAAGAGGAGGGTTGCATATGCATTACTATTTAAAATATAGAAAAATACAACTATAAGTGGGAAATACTATATTCACACTCCTTCAACAATGACTTCTTTTGGGACGATTTTCTTATTATTTTTTAAAATAGTTTTATAGTTCAAACTTTTTAATTTTTTAACTAAAAATATACTTAAAGAAGCAGTAAGAAAATCGTCCCAATCAAAACTGAAATAAAAAAAGAAGAAGAATGAAGATTGACACTGTCACTATTGTTCGACACAAAATTACAATTCAACACAAACTGTGCAAATAAAAAAAAAAATCAGCAACTCTATTATAGTGACAAGGTGTATGTTCGAATATAACTTGATGGAAGTTTGGCAGCAACTCAGGAGCTTGAAGTGGCTTTTTTTGCCAGATTGTTTTGTCAAAGCTATGCTGTAAATACTCCATAACATTACAATTATCATGTCCCAAAAAAAAACATTACAAATATCTTCTTTCTTATCAGATTTTTTTATTGCTTCTTAAAATAGAATTTTAGTAAAAAAAATTATTTGTTGTACTAAAAAGTTGTTTTAAGAAACAGTAAGAAAGCCATCCCAAATAAAGCCAATCTTGAGGAGGTTGATTGCTTTCATTTCAATAGCTGAATTATTCCAATGCTCTCATTGGCTTCCAACTGCAATAATAAGATTGATATTTGCATCACGGATGACTACACCAAGTCCAGATTTGTCGAAAGCTGGGAGGGCTGTTGTACTCTTGTGCTGCTTATATGGAAAGGCTCAAGCCTTGGCGAAGGCTTCCAGAATGGTAGCTACTATAATACTTGGAGATTTTTCTTACTGATTGTGCTTTTTTGCACAATAAAGTCTGCGTCAATAGATATCATATTGCTGGAGATGTTTAAAAGCTTGGCAAAGTTCATTAAGTGAAGTAAAAACAAGAAGTTTACAACCCCACCGGGTTAAGACGGTGCTGATGACTTTGAGGCCTTTGCAACTACATTTAACTGTAAGTGATTAGGCATAGCTATGAAGGGGGTGAATTTGCTGATTTAAAAAATAAGTTCTAGTTTGATTAATAATGATAATTTACAATGGAAATAAATTGAATGGTTAACTTTTGAATACTTGATTTTGATTTTTTAATGTCGATGCACTTGAGATCAAACATGTTTAACAAAATAGATTCAAATATAAATTTGATTTAAGCACAAAAAAAATAGTAACAATTTTTTTTCTTTATTATTTTTCTTTTATTTTTTCAATGAATAATGCTTGCAACAAAGCTAGATCTAAGTAATAAAAAAAATGCAAGAAGTAAAGTAACACAGAAAACAACAACAACAACATCAAGCATTTGTCCCCCTACGTTGGGTCGGCAACATGAATCCTTTTTCTCCATTGTGTCCTATTAAAAGTCAAATTCTCGTTTAAACCCAATAGAGAAAGACAATTTCTAATATTTTCTATCCAAGTCTTTTAAGGTATATCTCTGAACATAAGTCAAATCTAATAACTCTATTTTCCTAACTAGAAGGCTGCCATTTTATGTGACCTAACCATCTAAGGCGACTCACTACAGGAAAATCACTCATTTCCGGCGGCAATTTCCGGCGGAAATTGGGCATTTTTCGGCGGTTTTGTAATTTAGCGGCGGTTTTCCGGCGGTTAAAATGCCGCCGGTAAAAACCGCGTAGGAAAATAAATTCCGGCGGTTTTTTCCGGCGGCAAGTTCGTCCGGCGGCTTACCGGCGGTCTTAAACCGCCGGTCAAATTTAAAAAAAAAAAAAAAACCGCTCCCGCGCCCGAACCCCGCCCCCACCGGGGCTCCGCGCTCCGGCCAGGCTCCCGGCACTCCCGCGCTCCCGCCAGGCGCGGCCCGCGCTCGCGATTAAAGCCGCCGGAAACGTGAAAAAGCCGCCGGAAATCCGCCGGAAAATTCCGTGACGGAAAACCGCCGGAAACGCGCCGGAAAGCCGCCGGTAAATTCCGCGGGAATATTTTGCGGGAAATTAGCCGTCGCAAAATTTTGCGGGGAAATTAGCCGTCGGTAAGCCGCCGGTAAGCCGTCGGAAAGCCGCCGGAAAATTTTGTAGGAATAAGCCGTCAAAAACCGCCGGAAATCCGCCGGAAAGCCGCCGGAAATCCGCCGGAAAACTGGCCGCCGGAAAGCCGCCGGAAAATTCCGCCGGTAATAAGTGATTTTCCTGTAGTGACTCTCTCTAATCTTATCATCCACCGGAGCTACTCAAACCTTTTCACGTATATGCTTATTTCGTATCATGTCTCTAAGGGTAAAGCCACTCATCCACCTGAGCATCCTTATCTCTGCAACACTTAACTTAGTATTATTCTTCTCTTTTAATGGCCAACATTCTACACCATAAATCATTGCAGGTCGCACCACCATCTTATAGAATTTTTTCTTAAGTTTGAGGGGGACTTTTCTATCACACAAATGGCCCGATGCATTTCTCCACTTCAACAGTCCAACTTGAATTCTATTGATAATATCCCCATCTGTTTCACCATCACTCTGAACAATAGATCCAAGATATTCAAAACGTGTACTCTTATTAATGACTTGATCTCCCAAAGTTACAATCCCCTCACTAGGACTATTACTGCTAAAATTACACTCCATATATTCAGTTTTAGATATACTTAAGCGAAAACCTTTAAGGTTGACCTCCATAATTCAAGTTTACCTTCAACTCCCTCTCTAGTCTTGTCAATAAGAAGAATATCATTAGCAAAAAGTATACACCAAGGTACATCCTCTTGCAAATGTCTAGTGAGACATCCATCACTAACGCAAAACGATATAGGCATAAGGTTGATCCTTGATGTAATCCAATCGAAATGGGAAAATACTTGGTCAAACCACCTTGTGTTTGAACACAAGTAATAGCTCCTTCATACATATCTTTAATAATTTGAATATTAGGATTATTAACTCCTTTCTTTTCAAGAACTTTTCATAGCACTTCTCTTGGAACTTTATCATATGCTTTCTCTAAATCAATAAATATAATGTGTAGATCCTCTTTATTCTCCCTATATTTCTCCATCAAACCTCTCAATAAATGTATGGCTTCTATAGTAGACCTACCTTGCATGAATCCAAATTGATTTCGAGAAACATTAGTATCTCACT